AGGAGCAATGTTTCACCAATAGCAACAATAGTTCATCAATAGTAGCAATGGTTCACCAATAGCAATAATAGTTCATTATTAGGAGCACTGTTTCACCAATAGCAATAATAGTTCATTAATAGAAGCAATGTTTCACCAATAGTAGCAATGGTTCACCAATAGCAATAATAGTTCATTAATAGGAGCAATGTTTCACCAATAGCAACAGTAGTTCATCAATAGTAGCAATGGTTCACCAATAGCAATAATAGTTCATTAATAGTAGCAATGTTTCACCAATAGCAATAATAGTTCATCAATAGTAGCAATGGTTCACCAATAGCAATAATAGTTCATTAATAGGGGCAAAGTTTCACTAATAGTAATAATAGTTCATTAATAGTAGCAATGTTTCACCAATAGCAATAATAGTTCATCAATAGTAGCAATGGTTCACCAATAGCAATAATAGTTCATTAATAGGGGCAAAGTTTCACCAATAGCAATAATAGTTCATTAATAGTAGCAATGTTTCACCAATAGCAATAATTGTTCATCAATAGTAGCAATGTTTCACCAATAGCAACAATAGTTCATTAATAGGGGCAAAGTTTCACTAATAGTAATAATAGTTCATTAATAGGAGCAATGTTTCACCAATAGCAACAATTGTTCATGAATAGTAGCAGTGTTTCACCAATAGCAACAATAGATCATTAATAGGGGCAAAGTTTCACTAATAGCAACAGTAGATCATTAATAGTAGCAATGTTTCACCAATAGCAATAATAGTTCATCAATAGTAGCAATGGTTCACCAATAGCAATAATAGTTCATTAATAGGAGCAATGTTTCACCAATAGCAACAATAGTTCATCAATAGTAGCAATGGTTCACCAATAGCAATAATAGTTCATTATTAGGAGCACTGTTTCACCAATAGCAATAATAGTTCATCAATAGTAGCAATGTTTCTTTAATAGCAATAATAGTTCATTAATAGGAGCAATCTTTCATCGGTAGCACCAATTGTTCATGAATAGTAGCAGTGTTTCACCAATAGCAACAATAGATCATTAATAGGGGCAAAGTTTCACTAATAGCAATAATAGTTCATTAATAGGAGCAATGTTTCACCAATAGGAACAATAGTTCGTTATAAGGAGCAATGTTTCACCAATAGCAACAATAGTTCATCAATAGGAGCAATGTTTCACCGGTAGCAACAATAGATCATTAATAGGAACAATGTTTCATCGGTAGCAACAATTGTTCATGAATAGTAGCAGTGTTTCACCAATAGCAACAATAGTTCATTAATAGGAACAATGTTTCACCAATAGCAACAATAGTTCATTAATAGGAACAATGTTTCATCGGGAGCAGCAATAGTTCATTAATAGGAACAATGTTTCACCGGTAGCAACAATAGATCATTAATAGGAACAATGTTTCATCGGTAGCAACAATTGTTCATGAATAGTAGCAGTGTTTCACCAATAGCAACAATAGTTCATTAATAGGAACAATGTTTCATCGGTAGCAGCAATAGTTCATTAATAGGAACAATGTTTCACCGGTAGCAACAATAGATCATTAATAGGAACAATCTTTCGTCGGTAGCAACAATTGTTCATGAATAGTAGCAGTGTTTCACCAATAGCAACAATAGTTCATTAATAGGAACAATGTTTCATCGGGAGCAGCAATAGTTCATTAATAGGAACAATGTTTCACCGGTAGCAACAATAGATCATTAATAGGAACAATGTTTCATCGGTAGCAACAATTGTTCATGAATAGTAGCAGTGTTTCACCAATACCAACAAATATTCATTAATAGGAGCAATCTTTCGTCGGTAGCAACAATTGTTCATGAATAGTAGCAGTGTTTCACCAATAGCAACAATAGTTCATTAATAGGAACAATGTTTCATCGGGAGCAGCAATAGTTCATTAATAGGAACAATGTTTCACCGGTAGCAACAATAGATCATTAATAGGAACAATCTTTCGTCGGTAGCAACAATTGTTCATGAATAGTAGCAATGTTTCACCAATAGCAATAATAGTTCATTATTAGGAGCACTGTTTCACCAATAGCAATAATAGTTCATCAATAGTAGCAATGTTTCTTTAATAGCAACAATAGTTCATTAATAGGAACAATGTTTCATCGGTAGCAACAATTGTTCATGAATAGTAGCAGTGTTTCACCAATAGCAACAATAGTTCATGAAAAGTAGAAATGTTTCACCAATAGCAACAATAGTTCATTAATAGGAACAATGTTTCATCGGGAGCAGCAATAGTTCATTAATAGGAACAATGTTTCACCGGTAGCAACAATTGTTCATGAATAGTAGCAGTGTTTCACCAATAGCAACAATAGTTCATTAATAGGAACAATGTTTCACCGGTAGCAGCAATAGTTCATTAATAGGAGCAATGTTTCACCAATAGCAACAATAGATCATTAATAGGGGCAATGTTTCACTAATAACAATAATAGTTCATTAATAGGAGCAATGTTTCACCAATAGCAACAGTAGTTTATTAATAGGAGCAATGTTTCACCAATAGCAACAATAGTTCATTAATAGGTAGCAATCGATGACCCTTCAGACCTTTGAAACTGTCTGTCCAAAGCGAAGACATATATGATATCCCGATGGAACCCAATTGTCGATTTATTGACATCATGTAGGAGTTTCCCCGTCATCACGCCATAGAAACTGTTCATCAAGGTCGGTATGCACTCTGCTTTGTGGGACTCTCCTCGTACCTGAACCACACCATTTCCCCTACTGCCTAGCCCTCCCTGCATGTCTAAAGCCCTAAATGAAGCAAGTCTAGATTTCCTCGGGTTCATCTCACTGGGGCTCCTTTTCAATTTAAATAGGATTATTTGTCATAATAAAAAAATTATGAATTCAGAGACTAAGCATTAGTTTTGGACTCTCTCCGTCTACTGTTGTTATTGATAGACGATGTCAGTGAATGTGGGCCCTATTTCTGTGACTCCATATTGCTGTATCCAGGTATTTTAATTGACCGCCAGTCCTCACCAAACAGTCACTTATTGGCCACATCTAGGTATGTTACAAGGGTATTCGAATTATTATTGAATGTCTGCTGCACAAATCTATCGGATGGTCATATAATAAACGTTCAGGACAACAACAACAACAACAAAAGGAGGGGGGGAGGGGTGCGTACCCCTGCATTCCCCCACCCCCACCCCACTCTGGATCCGCCTATGCACCCACGCGTACAATACCAAGTTCCCGGTGGGGAGTTAATGTCGGTAGGTAAAATGAGGCTAGGAGAAGCACTATTTATGAGTGTGTGAGTTTAGTTTTACGCCGCACTCAGCAATATTCCAGCTATATGGCGGCGGTTTGTTTATAATCGAGCCTGGACCAGACAATCCAGTGATCGACAACATGAGCATAGATATACGCAATTGGGATACGATATAGATGTGTCAACCAAGCCTGACCACCCGATCCCATAAGTCCCTCTTATGATAAGAATGAGTTACTGAAGATCAATTCTAACCCGGATCTTCACCTATATTATTAATAATTAAGTTTAAGATGTTCACTTTGTAAGTCGAAACCCTACCAGCAGATTATTGCTACTAATGGGGGCGGCGGGGTAGCCAAGTGGTTAAAACGTTCGCTAGTCACACCGAAAACCCGAGTTCGATTCCCTACATGGCTACAATGTGTGAAACCCATTTCCGGTGGTCCCCGCTGTGATGTTGCTGGAATATTGCTGAAAGCGGCGTAAATCTAAACGCATTCTCTCTTGCCACTAAGGGACACAACTCCGTAAAACGAATGCTTCTACGCCTCTCCTTATATTTCAATAACTAATATTCAGTATTTGATATGGCTCTGTTCTAACTAAAGAAACTAAATTTACGAAAAATCTTTCCGGTCACGTAATTTTAAAACAATGTTCAAACTAGTCAAATTTAAATGCCTCAAAAAGAACTCAAAGAATCGTGTGTTGCATGTAATCTGTTATTTTTCTCTAGTTCGAGCTTGCTGATGCTTATAAACTGTTTGTTATAAACGACACTATCAAATTAGCTGTGCTGTGGATGCTGGGGGAGGTGATGGAGAGTCAAATCAGGTGTTATGTAAGATAACTTAAACTGCCATGTCTGTCGGCTGATGGTGCAAGGAGATAATTCACCCACTGTGTATTGAATTAGGAGCAAATTTTAAAGCTGAATCCTAAAGGTTAACCCAAGAATAGTTATATAAGAAGGAAAAAACAAAGAACATGACTGTCACATTCTTCTTTTTTGTAAAACATTAAATTTCAACAATGTAAAATATTTAAAAACAAAGGAAGTTTTTTGTGATGTGTGGATGATTGTCGATGAAAATAGAAATCATTTGATTCAAATTTTAAACAACCCACCCCTAAAAATTAACATTACAAAAAACAAGCAAAATGTGTTTGATATATAGATACATGTCAACAACCAGTTGATATCGATTGTGAAAGGGACGTAACACACTGATACGACTTCGCAGTAGAAGGTGGCGGCGGTGTAGCCTAGTGGTGAAAGCGTTCGCGCGTCACGCCAAAAGCCCGGGTTTAATTCTTGTCATGGGTACAATGTGTGAAGCCCACTTCTGGTGTTCACCGTCGTGGTGTTCCTGGAATATTGCTAAAAGTGGCGTAAAACCCAATGCGCTCACTCACTCACTCACTAACCCACTCAATGATAACCCTTCATTCATTCATTTCGTTACACCTTGGCACTCACCATAAGATAACGCTCTATTCACTCATTTCGTTACACCTTCTCTGGGACACCGTCAAAGTTTGTCAAGCACGTTGCTGCTGTTTAATTTTCATACTGACTCCGTGAAGATAGAATTCCGTTACAATGCGTATTACCATGCAATTACCACGCCTTCTACAACCACAGTTTCGTAGGCGACATACCTCAACATTACCTCAATGACGACATGGAATTATCAGGACCAGATTTTAGAAAAAACCCTGAACATCTGTTTTCCTTCACACAGTGACTTTCAGACATGTTTGGATTACATTGGACGAACATGGCGTCCATGACCTTGGGATTTCTCTACGCTTCCATCGTTATAGCGTCCGGTAAGTGGGATACAGACTACGAAATGCAGTGCGTTTGGAGTGAGTGAGTTTAGTTTACGCCGCTTTTAGCAATATTTCAGAAAAGAGACACTAGAAATGGGTTTCACATAGTGTACCCATGTGGGAAATCAGCATGGCGAGTAGAAGGTGAGGTGAAATTGGGTTTAACGTCGTGCTTGAGAATTTTTTGCTCATATGACGACGTGCATCCGTGTGTATGTGTATGTGCGGCTGCTTGTACTAGCCCAGACTGAAGCTGGTTTTATAGTGCCAGCCCACTGAGATACCATGCCGCAGTGAAGCATGAATACCCCACTCAGACACATTATACTGACTCCGAGCCGACCAGTCCTTGTTGTACCCATTAATGCCGAGCGCCAGGCAGGGACCAACAAGTACCATATTTTAACGTCTTTTGGTATGACGCGGTCGGGGATTGAACCCGCGACCTTCCGCTCTAACCACTACACCACGGAGGCGGTCGCATGGCGAGGGAAGGCTTTAACCACTAGGCTACCCCTCCACCCCCTCCACCCACGTTGTGAACCGCCCCTTTAACAATGTCACACGTGAAGATACGGGCTAGAATTGATCTTCAGCAACCCATGCTTGTCGTAACAGGCGACTAACGGGATCGGGTGGTCAGGCTCGCTGACTTGGTTAACATGTCATTGTATCCCAATTACGTAGATCGATGTGAATATCTGGATTGTCTGGTCCAGACTCGATTATTTACAGGCCGTCGTTATATAGCTGGAATATTGCTGAGTGCGGCGTAAACAACCAACCAAATTTTTAAAATGTGTGAATGTGTTTGAAATATGTATTCTGTTTTCTCGTAATGGCGTCCTTTTCCTAACTACGACAGTGACGGCGGACTGTCTGAATGGCTGGACTCAGTACGCCAGCTCCTGCTACAGATTGTTCCGAAATGACAAGAATACGTGGCCGGAAGCAGGGGTATGTGTGTACTTTTGGGATGACAATCACAAGATATTATACTTAATATTGATTACATTGTGTACAGACCTTTTGATTTTATTTGAGACCGATGAATTGCCAAGTAACAAAAAATCTAATAATTGAACAAAACGAAATTTTGCAGTCGTATGAAATCCACAGACCAACCCTGAGGATTTGTGTTATCATTTTGGACACTCGAATAAAAAAAGTTGTTTAACAAACGATCATTATTTTGTGTCACTATTCGCTTTAACCCAGCGTCTGTACGATCGTTCTCGAGTGTAAAATCCTCCCTCTACCGGCTACTTCTGAGACTGAAGGAGCACCACCAGAGCGGCAGAAAAACGCCCCTTCAGTAACTTGCTGCTGTTGGACATCTCATCAAGTTCGCTAAGTTATTGTCAGTTGTGTGTAATTGTGAAACCAGTATAAGACTGTAAACCCACTGAAAGACTGTAAAACCACTGAAAGACTGTAAAACTTATCAAATTTTCATGATATATCCATGTGTCCATGTAAAGACTGAGAATTCTCAGAATGAATAAAGATGTCTTACCAACCAACACTTAGATTTTGTGTTAGTGAGCAATTCATCGGTCTCAAATGAAATCAAACGGATTGTAAAATATTACATATCCACGAAAATTGTTTATTGCAATAATGCTGGACGTTTGAGATTCAGAATTCCAGTCAGAATGTTTGAGACATCACAAATGATTATGGTGTATGAAGATGGACTAGGGCACCGCTCTTACGACCGTAGATTAGTCCGGAGCAGTGAAGTATTGTCATCAATGTAACATTCTACAAGACATCATCTGGACAGGGGAGTGTGTGGGGTCATGAAGCCTGCGTTGTAGTATGTTCACGTCGTAGACGTGGCAGTTCCAGGACGTTCCGGGTTTCTGGATTGGCGAGGTTTTAATTACAATGTCTTACTGTCCATTGATCCACCTGTCATCTATGTCCGTAGTTTGAGTGTGAGAAGCACGGGGCCTACCTGGTGTCCATAGAAACCCAACAGGAGAGTGTGGACATGCATGCACTGGTCGAGGAGTTGAATCTGGGGGGTAAGTTTGAAGTTTGACTTGCACAGACATTGTGAGTTGGTGAGTGAGTTTAGTTTTACGCCGCTTTTTGCAATATTCCACAATATCACGGGGGAGGACTCCAGAAATGGTCTTCACACATTGTACAAGAATTTTAAAAGAAATTTCAACTCGGAGATAAAATTGTCTTTTCTTGTTACAGATCTTGACAAGGTATGGATCGGACTGAGCGATGTTCGAGAGGAGGGCGTCTGGGTTTGGGAGTCCACTAGACAAAACGCCACTTTCTTCGACTGGGCACCGTCTGAACCCAACCAAAAAGATACTGTTCAACAGGACTGCGTCATTCTGTACGGCAAGCAGCACCTCCAGTGGGCGGACGATCGATGCGAATATAAATACGAATATATATGTGAAAGTCCGTATGTATCACGCTAATGGTTCAAAACCTAAACTTATTAAGTGTCGTAGTACCATTTAGAACGGCAGACGTCATGGACCCGGTCCGCAAAGATATCGTAGCGCTGCGACTGTCGTAGGTCTATGTTATACTATGTGGCCTTATCTTGCGTATTCATAGTCGAATCAGTACGATCTGTGTTAAAATATTTAGTTACGACAGCCTTGGCGCTAAGATCGTTTTGTGTAGCTGTGTTACACGTGTGTATCATCTTGTCGCGACTGTTGCACGGCGTTGTCTGGTGCAAACTCGACCTTTACTTTACCACGATGCAATAGACATACTATGTTCAGCCAGTCAGTCAGAAACCGCACACTTTCCATGCTGTTAATCTGTACTTGTACGGAGAAACGAAACGAGTACCAGATGTTACCAAGTGCATTGTAAAGTGACCCTGATTCTTTGTCTTTCAGGGTTAATACAGCCCCGGCCCTTGTGGGCTGAGTGGGATCAAGGAGAGCACACGTGTATTATACCTGTCAATGTTCAGCGAATATATAACGTCTGCTTGTAACAATCGTATTGTAAAACACTTATAAATACACCATGCAGGTACCTAACACTAGTTTGTTTGTTTGGTCGTTCCGTCGTTTGTTCGCTTGTGGTTTGTTTGCTTGTTTGGCTGGCTGGCTGGCTGGTTTGTTGGTTGGTTGATTGGTTGGCTTGTTGGCGGGTTGGCTGGCTGGCTGGCTAACTGGCTGGTTGGTAGTTTGGTCGGTTGGCTGGCTGGCTGGTTGGCTAGATGGCTGGCTGGCGGGTTGGCGGGTTGGTTGGCTGGATGGCGGGTTGGCTGGTTGGTTGGCTGGCTGGTTGGTTGGTTGGCTGGTTGGTTGGCTGGCTGGTTGGCTAGATGGTTGGCGGGTTGGCTGGCTGGCTGGCGGGTTGGCTGGTTGGTTGGCTGGCTGGTTGGTTGGTTGGCTGGTTGGTTGGCTGGCTTTCTGGCTGGCTGGCTGGTTGGTTGGCTGGTTGGCTGGTTGGTTGGCTGGCTGGTTGGTTGGTTGGTTGGCGGGTTGGCTGTCTGGTCAACGTTTGTATTGGTTGGCTACAGGCTACTTGGAAAGATATTTATAACGTTGAATATAATCACTGCTCATATTCTTCTATGTGCGCTTGAATAATTACCAACCGTACCTGACCATAATCTACTCTATAATTCCGTTCATATCATACCAAACCGAAACATGAGTCTCATTAACCTATTCAGACAATGACCTACTTTTCAGCCGATCCGTATTTTCTCGTGTGAAAGCGAAAAGAGAAACCACAAACAACTATGGTTACACTGAATTCCAATTCCTTGTTTCATAAGAAAATGGTATTTTAATTTTATACTTTAATAACATCGTATTTCTATATTTTATGGCGAGGTGTAGGCAGCATGACCTTAACTAAGACGTCACAGACTGCCCTTGTTTGATGACGTCGTAAAATGATTCACAATTCATCTGGCTCACTGGTTACATCTGTTATGTGTTCTTTGCACTCATTCAGTGTAGTTCTGTAACGCACAATATGACTGATATAATATCAAGTCCGTACCAGACCGCCAAACTTTTCTAGCGGCAGAGCCTCGTTTTGAGATTTCCACGATTTCCAGATTTCCGTTTGTCAGAGCACGCTGTACTACAGAGCACGCTGTGTTTGCAAGGATTAGGAGCGTAGTGTTGCAATATACAAGTGCTTAGATGTATCAAATAATACTGATGAATATTTATGTATCCAGTTGAATGAATTGGTCTCAAAATCTGGACTGGTTATTGTACTAAGGTGCGCAATAGCACGGAACCCAGTCAGCAGGAAACGAGACTGTTGTGTAATCAATGTTTCGACTTGCATGCTAGCACGTGTTCATGAACCAGGATCCAACACTCTGATACCAGGATCCAAAACTCTGATACCAGGATCCAACACTGATATCATGTTTACGAGAAAATGTGAACGTATCCGCCCCATACATGATACTCGTCACAGACACATGCAAAGCCACGTCAACTGTTCGAGAGAAAAAATACGGGAAGAAACAGGGAACTGCATAGGACATCATTCTGGTCACTGATCCGTCAAATTTGAAAAATATTGGTTTCCCGTTTTTACTGAAAGTGGCTTAAAACTAAACTAATTTACTGGCATGGACGAACGATATTCAGTGTTATTCACAAAATATTTATGCAAGGTCGCCTGAATCGCTGCCACTTTTACTGAGTATTTCTAATCAACCGACCTGGTTTATATAATTACCTCGCGAGACTCTCACTACCAAGGTGCTGTATAACGGCAGTAAAACTCTTGCAGCCATAAATGTCAACTAAGCAAATAATTTGTTCAGTACCGCCTGGGAGACAGTACACACGTCGGGAGGGAATGTAGACTTTTTAATTCGGTCGTTCAGTTTCCCAGAGCACAGAAAACATGAATCAGACTAATGTGGTGAGGAACCTATTCATCTGTTGAAAATACACGCTTTTATGTAAACAAGATTAGGTTTGATGAAAATTGCATGAACAAGCCTGTACCGTTTTAAGTGAGTTGTACGCCGGGAAGTTGGGAAGGGTCGTGATGACCTTGTATATGGCTTACACTGCATCACAATGGTTGTATACTACCTGCTGTCAGTGAGTGAGTGAGTTTAGTTTAACGTCGCTTTGTATTTCAGTTATATAGCTTTATGTGTGTGGGGTAATTTAATTTAGAGTGAGTGAGTATGATTTTTCAACGCTTTTCGCAATATTCCAGCAATATCACGGCGGGGGACACCAGAAATGGGCTTCACACATTGTACCCATGTGGGGATTCGAACCCGGGTCTACGGTGTGACGAGCCAACGCTTGAACCACTAGGCTACCCAACCGCCCCCGTTACAAATAAGTACCAAGGGATGTTAATCTTCTAAGGGTGTAACTTTACAGGTATTACACGATTTCTCCTGTCCAGTTTCCTCAGCAGGATAGCCTGGAGTGATGCAGGCCTCAGATCTTTACCGCTCTGTACAACAGACGAGTGTGGATATGCTGATGACATCTGGAACCCGTGAAGATCCGGGTTAGAATTGATCTTCAGTAACACGTGCTTGTCGTAAGAGGCGACTAACGGGATCGAATGGTCAGGCTCGCTGACTTGGTTGACACATGTCATCGGATTGATCACTGGATTGTCTGGTCCAGACTGGGTTATTTATAGTTTTTATAGTCTGTCTCACAGTCCCTGAACCATATTATTTTCCCTACTGCCAAGCCGTCTCTGCAGTGCTAAAGCCCTAAATAAAGCAAGTCTAGATTTCCTCAGGTTCAGGATCTCTGGTCTCCCTAGGGCTCCTCTTCAGTTTAAATGGGTTTGTTTGTTACTATTAAAATTATATATATTCAGAGACTAAGCATTAGTCTACAGTTTTTACTATGAACTGATTTGTTTTCTGTGAAATATGTTCATTTCAGAGACTAGTTTTTAGTCTAGCAGATAAGTATCGGAGGTTAGAACTTTGAGCGTTTTTTGAAAAAATATAAATAAACTTTGTAGCTGATTGTTAATATGTTTTGTATGATATGTCTCCCCCTGAAACAGCCTAGATCGATGTTCATGCTGCTGGTCACTGGATTGTCTGGTCTAAACTCGATTATTTATTATAGACCGCCGCCATTTAGCTGGAATATTTCTGAGTGCGGCGTAAAACAACAAGCAAACGAACAAACAGCACATCTGGACTAAAGTTTCCCTTTCTATGTTATATAGCGTACATAATACCTTAATACCTTGAAGCCTCTTCCACAAACATGTAGCAGCATTGTCCACTCAGAAATTTTATCATCGACTTGCAATTACAAAGCATGGAAACGAGAAAGACGATAAATTGGCAAAAGCGGCATTAGACTTTAGTGAGCCAGGAAAAGAGATGCCACAATATATGTATCATCTTCTCCTGCACAATGAGGCCCCACCAGTAATATCCATGCTTAGAGAAAGTGGCAACAGAAATAGGTATCGTCCATCAATGGCCTAGCTGCTCGTAAAACTATTCAATCAATCAATGGAGGAAATATGATTGTGTAGTGACACTCTGGTAAAACACAGTAAACTACGGTTATCACACACAGGCGTATAATGTACTGACGGATATATAGAGGATATTATATGAGTGCCCATGTCATAGGAGCGAGGGATATACCGATATTTAGGCACGAGTGTAGTAAATATAGTATGATATGGGCACGAATATAATATTCTGTTTATTACCGAAGTCATCAAATTGAGGAAAATTAACCCAAATCTACTTTTAAACATAGGCTGGACACCCGCATGTGGAACGCAACGTTATAGAAGAAATGTGACGTCATAGCATTGCTCATGACGTCACGTCACCATGACAAAGTGATATTTTGCCTTAGGGCATCGTATAAAAAGTATGAACCCCGATATTTTCGCCCTCGTAGGTAATAAAACGAATTAGGTCCCAGCCACTAACTGCATATTTTACTCGAAATTCGTATTTAAAAACTCAATTTAGTGGTCAGTTTGAGTTAGGTATATCCGTAGTTAACTGTGCATGCCTATGGTTAAGATACATGTATGGATTGTACTGAAAGAATGCCTATCTCATAAACAAATACTATTACAAAATTACGGGGTATTCAATAAAAAGGTCTCATAACTATTGATATTATATATATCTAATGAGATAAATGCTTTAACAGTTTAACAGGGACATCTGACTGAGACTTCATGACCGTCAGATCACCATAGATTTTGTTGGATGATTGGCCAGAGCGTCCAACTGTTCATCACGTCATTTACCATGAAATGTCAACTTGATAAATATTGCGTCACCTTGATTCATTCTTCCTGAGAGTGGTCGATGGTTGTGGACGGTGACGTACGCGCCTTCCAAGGATATCCCAGACAGGTTTAGTGGGTGATGAGCCTGGACTGAGTGTCGGCCATGGTTAGGTGGTTATGATCTGCTTGAGGTGCTCAAGAACAATACGAAACAATCCAGAAACAAAAAGACGTCCATGTCGGCGCGCAGATGGCACCACGTGTGCCCCCAGGATATTGTCGATGCAGTAACACCCAGTGATACGTCCGTGAGGAACATGTAAAGATGTCCTTCAGATCACAGTGATCCCACCCCATACTATTACTGAGCCACCCCAAAACGATCGTTCTGGCTAACGTCAACGTCATGAAAACGCTTATTCCGTCTACGCCACATTATGTCGTCCTGTCAGGGTGGCTCAAACTTTGATTCATCCGAAGACGTAACGTTTGTGGTCTGTCCGCTCACTCTAACCTACACCTGAAGCTCTGTGAAGCTCAACTCCAATCTGAGAGACACTATGACCACGGTTTCATGACACCGTCGTTCCGAAGAAACGATCTTGTGCGCCAGTTGTCGCCCTTGGTCTACCAGTTTGACGTTTGTCATCAACGTTATATACCTGTAGATATCGTGACTGTAGTATCCCTCTTATTGAGTGTGATACGTCAAGATCTCGCGCTACAATGCCCTTTCTACTTCCAACTTCCAACATCCCATCTGCGCATAGGCGTTTAGGACGTGACAGATGCCGCATGTGACAATAACAAAAACAAAAACAATCATTTAATTGGATTTAAAACTATATCACAACTTTCAGTCTGGTTTTTGTCACTGAAATGTACAGCAACACATTGACACGTTCCACAGTAAATTTCCAAATTTACACCGAGGTGCACATTGTGAATAACTCTTGCGCGAAATTGGTGTGTTTGCACGAAATTGGCGTGTTTGTACGAATTTCATAACTCTATGAATCGAATAACATTCACCCGGTATTATGAATGTTACGATATTGTCAGAATAATTAGTTTCATAAAGCAATACTGAACGAATGTAAAATATCGATTCTCAAGAAAAACTCTTCGCGTAATGTATATCTCCGGAGGCTTTATTAAAATGGATAGTTTATATCCCCCAAATGGATAATTTGTTGGCTCTGGTAAAAACATGTATTTGTTTGAAATGTTAATTCCAGCTTTTTGTGTTAAAAGTGAAAAATGATCTTGCTCGGTAACAAGGCATACGCTGGGGAAGAATTGAGTATTCTCCATATAACGCTTTAATCAATGCCACGTCTCTACAAATAAATATCTGGCATTAAACTCCCAGTCTGTGTTCCGTCAGATTGAGCACTGTCGCCTGAGGCTAGGCTGCTGCGACTCCAACGCCCACGAATACAATCGACATATATCAGAAAGACAGCCTGTTAATGCTATTCTTCTGTTGAAGATGCTTGTTACATTTGTTGAAAAACTAAGAAAGGACTCATTTAATGTTTTGATAGTATATTTTTGACAACATCCCCAACTTTACCTGAGCAAAGGCATTCCTTCCCAAACTCAGAATGGAACCCAGTCTCAAAAACGCAACTTGATCTCGGATATGATACAGTGTTCTCCATGCAACTCATGCTGCACGTGCTGTTCACAAGGACCAGCCCTATAAAATGCACCCCCCAAACCTGGTGGAAACATTCACATAACAACGTCAGCAGGATGCCACGACTCACGACAGCTGAGAGGAACCAGGCGCTAGGCAGACTTGAAGCTGGCCACACTGGCCGTTGCCAATCACTTCCAGGTCAACGTTCGGACCATCTACAGGCTGCAGGCCACCAACACCACAAATGATCGCCCCCGTACTGGCAGACCAAGGGTGACCACAAGACGACAAGACAGCCATCTTGTGCGACAGCATGTACAGAATCCCTTCATGCAGGCATCCGAAACAGCACGCCAGACAGTAGGAACACACGGAAGACCAATCAGTACTGATACAGTACGCCGACGTCTTAACAGCGGAAACCTCCATTGCCGTAGACCTTACCATGGACTTATCCTCACCCCTCGTCATCGGCGTGAACGTCTACAGTTTGCCCTACAACACAAAAACTGGCGATACAGGCAATGGGGAACTGTTCTGTTCACAGCTGAGAGTCGGTACTGCGTATCAACTGCAGATGGCAGAACAAGAATATGGCGACGACGTGGCCAGACCAATGTCTTATGGAAAGAGACTAATGGGGAGGTGCAAGCATCATGGTATGGGGTGGAATAGGCCTGAACCAGAAAGTGGGTCCTGTGGTGTTCCAGACCCTTGGTCCAGGGAGAGGTGGCGGCATCACAGCGGTGTGCTACATCGACCAAGCTCTCAGACCCCACGTCATACCACATTTCGCCAGTCACCGGAACATTTTCCAGCATGATAACGCCCGGGCCCATACTGCCAGAGCTACACGGGACTTCCTACAACAGAACGGTGTCAACATTATGCAGTGGCCAGCACTTAGTCCTGATTTAAACCCAAATGAACACCTTTGGGATGGAATTCAGAGGAGACTGAATAATGTCATACCAAGGCCGAACACAGCCAATTTATTGCGCCAGGCCTTTCTCAGAGTGTGGTTCCAGGTGCCAATGGCCTTGATCAATCGATTGGTGCACTCCATGCATAGACGCTGTGCTGCAGTTATTGCCGCTCGTGGTGGTCACATTAGATACTGAAGTCAATGGACTGGAAACGTTCACGTAATGTCTTGAAATTGTGCTGAGTTATTCATTGATGTGTCAGAATATTGTACACACAAAAAAGAAGGTTTTGATCCGCTTATTATGTCCATTTCTGTAATGATTTGATTACAGTTCCTATCTAATTTTGAATTCGTACTGACGTTTTTATTGCTGCTGAGTATATATATATATATATTAAAGCCATGATATAAATCCGACTGCCATTCAGTACAATATTTGAACACTTTCAGGAACACGTGTTATCTAGGCCCTTTCGTTCCGAGATAACACGACTCGACCCCGTGACCTGAATGTAAGGACACCGATGCCTTATCTTACAGAGATAACACTGTTCAACGTTACTGGCGTATAATTCCATTACGTCTCACCCGGTTCTCTCTGTTTTCTTATATGATGTTTTATATTATTTTTTCTGCAATCTCGCTGCTTTGCTTGGCCCACACAGGTAGGGTATTTTGTGACATAATGTGCCAATCCCTTTTCCAGTGACTATAATCTTACAATGTCGTAAATATATTCAACAGCTGTTTGATAACCTACTCGTACTAGCTGACGGTTTTGAGCACAAAGTGTGTCATATACCTATAACAATAGTGTATATTTCATCACACAATGTTTCTGAAACATTCCGTCGCCTATACCTGTGTATTCATATACAATATCTTTAAGAAAGTGATCAAATGTAACATATGTTGCATTTGGGATTGCACTTGTTCAGTAAAGTATAGATTCTAATACACCTCTTGGTTGAGTCCCACCCGGGATTCGAACCACTTGTCTCAGTGTCAGCCACCTTGTCGTCAGCACACATAGCAGCAAGCTTAACCGCTCAGCCAACACAGAAAAGTTAAGTACTTGGTTGTCTACTTTGCGTACCTTAGGACTCAACCCATGAAATAACTAGAGAATGTGTAATCCCAAATATAACATATGTTATACTAGAACAATATTTCATAAATCGTTATTGGTAATAAACACAATACAATTTATTCCAAATATTTTGTATTTATCTTTCAGCGAAACCCCTGTAATATTCTAAAAATTATCAACCAAATGCAGCTATTTCAAAATTACCAAGACATCGAACCCCCGCAACTGCCCCTAATAAATCGTAACCATTAAACAGACAGTATGTCAAGAAGGACACGATTTCTTGTGTCAAACCAACTATAAAGCTGTCTGTCTTTTAGGAATAGCCTCAGTATCAACACTGTAAATCTCCCCGTGTTAGAATTAGTCTTCAGTAACCCATGCTTGTCGTAAGGGGCAACTAACGAGATTCGGTGGTCAGACTCGCTGACTTGGTTGACAAACATGTCGATGCTCATGATGTTGACCACTGGATTGTCTGGTCCAAACTTGATTATTTATAGACCGCCGCCATACAGTTGGAATATTGATAAGTACGGCGTTAAACAACAACCAGCCAACTCTGTAAATCCATTTGCCGATGCACGACAGACTTAAATTATAGCTTGGAAATATCCTCAAATACTCATCCGTGTCTCGTTCCTAAGTGATCTCTACTGTTGTAACTCCATACCTTACGTTTGTCGTAGTACTGAGATCCCTAAGGGGAGGGGGGACACTGGTCAGTAAATGAGGTCAGTTCAAGATTAACTTCTCATATTTGTTCAAAGCTGCTAAAAACCATAGACATTGATGGTTTCCAGTGACTTGTCATTCAGAAGTCGCTAAAGGAGCATAACGCAATATCATGTTACGAGGCATATGTAGCCACCATTTATTTAAATATCAACGATAGACTGATTAAGGACAAAAATTCAATGTTCTGTCTTTCTTGCAGCGGTCGCCGAATGTCCGGACGGATGGACCAAGTACGACTCATCGTGCTACGCTCTGTACCAAGGCAAGACTGAGTGGATTGACGCGGGGGTATGACCTTACACCACACGTATTAATGATACAAGACTGAGTGGATTGACGCAGGGGTATGACTTTACACCACACGTATTAATGATACAAGACTGAGTGGATTGACGCAGGGGTATGACCTTACACCACACGTATTAATGAAACGAGACTGAGTGGATTGACGCAGGGGTATGACTTTACACCACACGTATTAATGATACAAGACTGAGTGGATTGACGTAGGGGTATGACTTTACACCACACGTATTAATGATACAAGACCGAGTGGATTGACAAATGGGTATGACCTTACACCACACGTATTAATGATACAAGACTGAGTGGATTGACGCAGGGGTATGACTTTACACCACACGTATTAATGATACAAGACTGAGTGGATTGACGTAGGGGTATGACTTTACACTACACGTATTAATGATACAAGACTGAGTGGATTGACGCAGGAGTATGACCTTACACCACACGTATTAATGATACAAGACTGAGTGGATTGACGCAGGGGTATGACTTTACACCACACGTATTAATGATACAAGACTGAGTGGATTGACGCAGGAGTATGACCTTACACCACACGTATTAATGATACAAGACTGAGTGGATTGACGCTTGGGTATGACCTTACGCCACACGTATTAATGATACAAGACCGAGTGGATTGACGCAGGGGTATGACTTTACACCACACGTATTAATGATACAAGACCGAGTGGATTGACAAATGAGTATGACCTTACACCACACGTATTAATGATACAAGACTGAGTGGATTGACGTAGGGGTTTGACCTTACACCACCCGTATTAATGATACAAGACTGAGTGGATTGACGCAGGAGTATGACTTTACACCACACGTATTAATGATACAAGACTGAGTGGATTGACGCAGGAGTATGACTTTACACCACACGTATTAATGATACAAGACTGAGTGGATTGACGCAGGAGTATGACTTTACACCACACGTATTAATGATACAAGACTGAGTGGATTGACGCAGGAGTATGACCTTACACCACACGTATTAATGATACAAGACTGAGTGGATTGACGCAGGAGTATGACCTTACACCACACGTATTAATGATACAAGACTGAGTGGATTGACGCAGGAGTATGACTTTACACCACACGTATTAATGATACAAGACTGAGTGGATTGACGCAGGGTATGACTTTACACCACACGTATTAATGATACAAGACTGAGTGGATTGACGCAGGAGTATGACCTTACACCACACGTATTAATGATACAAGACTGAGTGGATTGACGCAGGAGTATGACTTTACACCACACGTATTAATGATACAAGACTGAGTGGATTGACGCAGGGGTATGACTTTACACTACACGTATTAATGATACAAGACTGAGTGGATTGACGCAGGGGCGTGACTTTACACCACACGTATTAATGATACAAGACTGAGTGGATTGACGTAGGGGCATGACCTTACACCACACGTATTAATGAAACGAGACTGAGTGGATTGACGCAGGGGTATGACTTTACACTACACGTATTAATGATACAAGACTGAGTGGATTGACGTAGGAGTATGACCTTACACCACACGTATTAATGATACAAGACTGAGTGGATTGACGCAGGGGTATGACTTTACACTACACGTATTAATGATACAAGACTGAGTGGATTGACGCAGGGGCGTGACTTTACACCACACGTATTAATGATACAAGACTGAGTGGATTGACGCAGGGGCGTGACTTTACACCACACGTATTAATGATACAAGACTGAGTGGATTGACGTAGGGGCATGACCTTACACCACACGTATTAATGATACAAGACTGAGTGGATTGACGCAGGGGTATGACCTTACACCACACGTATTAATGATACAAGACCGAGTGGATTGACGCAGGGGTATGACTTTACACTACACGTATTAATGATACAAGACCGAGTGGATTGACGCAGGGGTATGACTTTACACTACACGTATTAATGATACAAGACTGAGTGGATTGACGTAGGGGCATGACCTTACACCACACGTATTAATGATACAAGACCGAGTGGATTGACGCAGGAGTATGACCTTACACCACACGTATTAATGATACAAGACTGAGTGGATTGACGCAGGGGCGTGACTTTACACCACACGTATTAATGATACAAGACCGAGTGGATTGACGCAGGGGTATGACTTTACACTACACGTATTAATGATACAAGACTGAGTGGATTGACGCAGGGGCGTGACTTTACACTACACGTATTAATGATACAAGACTGAGTGGATTGACGCAGGGGCGTGACTTTACACCACACGTATTAATGATACAAGACTGAGTGGATTGACGTAGGGGCATGACCTTACACCACACGTATTAATGATACAAGACTGAGTGGATTGACGCAGGAGTATGACTTTACACCACACGTATTAATGATACAAGACTGAGTGGATTGACGCAGGGGTATGACTTTACACTACACGTATTAATGATACAAGACTGAGTGGATTGACGCAGGGGCGTGACTTTACACCACACGTATTAATGATACAAGACTGAGTGGATTGACGTAGGGGCATGACCTTACACCACACGTATTAATGATACAAGACTGAGTGGATTGACGCAGGAGTATGACTTTACACCACACGTATTAATGAAACAAGACTGAGTGGATTGACGCAGGAGTATGACTTTACACCACACGTATTAATGATACAAGACTGAGTGGATTGACGCAGGAGTATGACTTTACACCACACGTATTAATGATACAAGACCGAGTGGATTGACGCAGGGGTATGACCTTACACCACACGTATTAATGATACAAGACTGAGTGGATTGACGCAGGAGTATGACCTTACACCACACGTATTAATGATACAAGACCGAGTGGATTGACGCAGGGGTATGACTTTACACCACACGTATTAATGATACAAGACTGAGTGGATTGACGCAGGGGCGTGACTTTACACCACACGTATTAATGATACAAGACCGAGTGGATTGACGCAGGAGTATGACCTTACACCACACGTATTAATGATACAAGACTGAGTGGATTGACGCAGGAGTATGACTTTACACCACACGTATTAATGATACAAGACTGAGTGGATTGACGCAGGGGTATGACTTTACACTACACGTATTAATGATACAAGACTGAGTGGATTGACGCAGGGGCGTGACTTTACACCACACGTATTAATGATACAAGACTGAGTGGATTGACGTAGGGGCATGACCTTACACCACACGTATTAATGAAACGAGACTGAGTGGATTGACGCAGGGGTATGACTTTACACTACACGTATTAATGATACAAGACTGAGTGGATTGACGTAGGAGTATGACCTTACACCACACGTATTAATGAAACAAGACCGAGTGGATTGACGTAGGGGTATGACTTTACACCACACGTATTAATGAAACAAGACCGAGTGGATTGACAAATGGGTATGACTTTACACTACACGTATTAATGATACAAGACTGAGTGGATTGACGTAGGGGTATGACCTTACACCACACGTATTAATGAAACAAGACTGAGTGGATTGACGTAGGGGTATGACTTTACACCACACGTATTAATGAAACAAGACCGAGTGGATTGACAAATGGGTATGACTTTACACTACACGTATTAATGATACAAGACTGAGTGGATTGACGTAGGGGTATGACCTTACACCACACGTATTAATGAAACAAGACTGAGTGGATTGACGCAGGGGTATGACTTTACACCACACGTATTAATGAAACAAGACTGAGTGGATTGACGTAGGGGCGTGACTTTACACCACACGTATTAATGAAACAAGACTGAGTGGATTGACGTAGGGGTATGACCTTACACCACACGTATTAATGAAACAAGACCGAGTGGATTGACGCAGGGGTATGACTTTACACCACACGTATTAATGATACAAGACTGAGTGGATTGACGCAGGGGTATGACCTTACACCACACGTATTAATGATACAAGACCGAGTGGATTGACGTAGGGGTATGACTTTACACCACACGTATTAATGAAACAAGACCGAGTGGATAGACGCAGGGGTATGACTTTACACCACACGTATTAATGATACAAGACCGAGTGGATTGACGCAGGGGTATGACTTTACACCACACGTATTAATGATACAAGACCGAGTGGATAGACGCAGGGGTATGACCTTACACCACACGTATTAATGATACAAGACCGAGTGGATTGACGCAGGGGTATGACTTTACACTACACGTATTAATGATACAAGACTGAGTGGATTGACGCAGGGGTATGACCTTACACCACACGGACATATATCATGTCCCTGAACAGTTATAATGTGTCTCTAAGATACATACTGAAACCAATTGCGTTTTAGCTTAACAGGTCACAGGGATCAAACAATTTATTGAGGATTGACTTTATCAAGTTCTATGTTTGTACCAAAAATATTTCAGATAAAAAGGTTTTTCAACATTTGGATGAAAGAGATAAGCGTTGTTTTGGTTTCTTTCAGCCATAGAAACATGGATACATCTTTTACTTGAAATATGAGTAATCAATTCATAACTTTTAATATAATATCTTTCCTGGCCACTTGTGTTTGTTTGTTTGTTTTTATCAAATTTAATATCAAAAGGTAAAATATTATTAAGATAGTTCTCTAGTTGTGTTCAAAATGATTTACATAGTGGCATTGCACATACAAATGTATCAAAAATGTATCTTAGATTCTGGTTCATTTTAATGAATATAGCAAATGGTAGCAGTAACACTATTCATCTTAAAAAATATTACTGGTACAGTAAATGATTCTAAATTTTATATATTTCTGTGAGGGTTCATAGTTCGTAATTCTTTTAGGGGCGGTGGGGTAGCCTAGTGGCTAAAGCGTTGGCCCATCACGCTGAAGACCCGGGTACGAATCCCCACATGGGTACAATGTGTGAAGCCCATTTCTGGTGTCCCCCGCCGTGATGTTGCTGGAATATTGCTAAAAGTGGCATAAAACCAAACTCAGTCAGTCAGTCGTAATTCTTTTAAGACTTTTCCTTCTTTAAGTGGTATTTAGAAGCTGGTATGGTGAAGAGGAACACTTTTTATGGATAGACAACTTCTTTATTGCAACAGGTGCGACGTTTCGTGTAGATCCTAACACCGAATAATAGAAGCTGTCTATCCATGAAAAAGTGTTCCCCTTTTTTAGACTTGATCGTTATCCTGTATACACGTAGTTAAGTCACAGTGAAGAAGTTTCAGTTCTGACAATGCACTTACAACTGTACACCAGTTACAGTCTGGCTGTGATATTCCAATACATTCCATACACCATAAACAAAATAGGATTTCTAGCCTCACAGCTTACTTGGCGTTCGTTTGTTATTTTCTGAATTTATGTGTATAGATATTTTTAACGCTTCAGTCCTATTGCCGTGAATTCGGGGGCAACCTTGCAACGTTGAACACAACGGACAAAGTGAAGAATGTCAAAGCCTTCCTGAATTATGTAAATCGTGAGTATCTAACTAATTAAATTGGTATTTGGCAATACAATAAACCGAGGTTGTAACGAACACAACGGGGCCATAATATTTAGTTCGCTATCACCGAACTTCGTTAAACGAATTTCTACTAATATATGCAGCAGAGTGGCCGGGACGGAAAAAACCCATTTCGTTCCATGATCAGCTGTGAGTTTGAATTCCATCCTCGTTCCATGATCAGTTGTGGGTTCGAATCCCAGCCTCGTTCCATGATCAGCTGTGGGTTCGAATTCCAGCCTCGTTCCATGATCAGCTGTGTGTTCGAATCCCAACCTCGTTCCATGATCAGCTGTGGGTTCGAATCCCAGCCCCATTCCATGATCAGCTGTGGGTTCAAATCCCAACCTCGTTCCATGATCAGCTATGGGTTCGAATTCCAGCCTCGTTCCATGATCAACGAGCATCAGCCTTGGGTTAGAATCCTTTTCTCGTATCAGTATCAACTTTGGGTTAGAATCCTTGTCTCATATCAGCATCAACTTTGGATTAGAATCCTTGTCTCGTATCAGCATCAACTTTGGGATAGAATCCTTCTCTAATATCAGCATCAACTTTGGGTTAGAATCCTTGTCTCGTATCAGCATCAACTTTAGGATAGAATCCTTGTCTCGTACAGCATCAACTTTGGGATAGAATCCTTGTCTCGTATCAGCATCAACTTTGGGTTAGAATGCTTGTCTCGTATCAGCATCAACTTTGGGATAGAATCCTTGTCTCGTACAGCATCAACTTCGGGTTAGAATGCTTGTCTCGTATCAGCATTAACTTTGGGTTAGAATCCTTGTCTCGTATCAGCATCAACGTTAGGATAGAATCCTTGTCTCGTATCAGCATCAACTTTGGGTTAGAATGCTTGTCTCGTATCAGCATCAACTTTGGGTTAGAATCCTTGTCTCGTATCAGCATCAACTTTGGGTTAGAATGCTTGTCTCGTATCAGCATCGACTTTGGGTTCGAATGCTTGTCTCGTATCAGCATCAACTTTGGGTTAGAATCCTTGTCTCGTATCAGCATCAACTTTGGGTTAGAATGCTTGTCTCGTATCAGCATCAACTTTGGGTTAGAATCCTTGTCTCGTATCAGCATCAACTTTGGGTTAGAATCCTTGTCTCGTATCAGCATTAACTTTGGGATAGAATCCTTGTCTCGTATCAGCATCAACTTTGGGTTAGAATGCTTGTCTCGTATCAGCATCAACTTGGGGTTAGAATCCTTGTCTCGTATCAGCATTAACTTTGGGATAGAATCCTTGTCTCGTATCAGCATCAACTTTGGGTTAGAATCCTTGTCTCGTATCAGCATCAACTTTGGGTTAGAATGCTTGTCTCGTATCAGCATCAACTTTGGGTTAGAATGCTTGTCTCGCATCTGTCATGTATTTCCGATGTTGGGGGTGGATGGTCCTGGATTCCAACAGACAACAATAAGTCCGCCATACATTTTTAATCCGCCATGATATTATTACATCATCACACACCTTGATGACGTCACTTGCCTACGTCATCAGTTTTGGGATGTACTATTTACTTAACAAATATCACTCTCCTCCTCCCTATCAGATGCAACCATTATATGGCATTGAAAGAATTCATTTTTTTTCATTTAAACGATTAGAACTTGAAACCTTAAAAGTCTTTCAATAGCTGAACTAGAATAATAAATTCATTCTGCCATAACGGCTAACACATATACAGGCATTACACTTGTGGACAGACAGTGTTTAGCAAGGCCGTTCGAGAAATATTAAATATTAAAGGTCCAGTCTTTGAATTGGTTATCTGGTCCTCTCCGGGTAGCGCCTTGGTGGTTCAGCCTGGCTTATCTCCCTTGCTACACTTGGTTTGGCTGAAGTATCTGCACATCACAGCGGTGGTGTCTCCTCCCCCGACATTAATGATGTCGGCAGCGACTGCTGTGGAGTTGTCTCGGCAGGTGGGCAGCATTCAGTAGTCACTGGCAACTTAGTGAACTGCTCGTCTTGTGGTGACACATCCTCTGCATGGCCTAGAGAATGTATCATCTGATTTACATGGGTGTACCTGGTGCGTGCGCCTATCTGAACCAGGTACCGTTGAGGTCCAATTCTGCGGATGACTCTTCCCGGTATCCACCATTCGGTCGTTCCATCTCTATGTTACGAACTCGACAGGGTTCATCGGTCTGGAATTCTCTCAGAGGATTCTGATTATCATGGAAGTCCTTCTGTTTCTGTTGAGCAGTTTCAACCTTCTTGCTGAGATCAGATTTAAGTAGAGACAGTCATGTGCGTACTTGCCGTCCAAGAAATAACTCTGCAGGTGTGCGCCCTGTCGCAGAATGTAGTGTTGACCTATATGTCAAAAGAAAGTTTGACAAGTGTTTCTTCGTTGTCCCCTATCTTCTGAGATATGAAGTGTTTCTTCAGTGCTGCTTTGATTATCTGAACAGAACGTTCTGCTGCACTATTCGATGATGGATGGTGTGGTGGTGTGAGTGAGTGCTTGACTCCATTCTGGGCCAAGAATGTCTCGAACACTTCTGCTGTAAATTGTGGCCCACTATCCGACACTAATTCTTCTGCTAAGCCGTAGCTTGAAACTATTGTTCTCAGAGTGTCTACAGTCTTTTCTGCTTGTTGTAGCCTTCATTTGGGTGACTTCAATCCATTTTGACCGGCTGTCGATCAGTACCAGGTAGTTTTGTCCCCGAAATTCTGCGAAGTCCACATGTATTCTCTGCCAAACTCTCTGTGGATAACTCCATGGATGCAATGGAGCTGTGTGTGGATCTCTCTGTGTGGTTTCACAAACTGTGCAACTCTTCACTGTCATTTAAATATCGTGATCCAGCCCAGGGAACCATAGGTACTTGGAGTACTTGATCTTGCAGTGTAGGAGGGATCACCACTCTCATTCCCCACAATATACAGTCTTGATCAACAGAGATTTCATGTCTTCTTTGAAAGTATGGTTTCATTCCTTCATCTGTTACATAGTTTGGCCACCCTCGTAATGCATGATCCAGGACTCTTGATAGAATCGAGTCGTTCCTTGTTGCCTTTGAGACTTCACTTGCTGTAACAGGTAGGTTATTCACATTGGTGAAATAGTTGATCTGTCCTTCGATTGGGTCATCGTTCCCAGGTAGTCTAGACAGTCCATCGGCGTTAGCATGGTCCTCCGATCTTCTATACCGGATCTCGTAGTTGTGAGCCATTAGTATCAACGCCCATCCTTGTAGACGAGCTGCAGCTAGTGTGGGTATGCCTGTCTTTGGCTGTCAACGGCTTGTGATCTGTGATCAAGGTGAAATTTCGTCCATAGATGTACTTGTGAAATTTCTTGATCCCGTATATGATAGCTAGAGCTTCCTTTTCAAGCTGAGCGTAGTTCGCTGGAAGACAACGTTCTGGAGGCATAGACTATCGGTCGCTCCGATCCATCATCCATCAGATGGGATAGGACACATCCTACACCGTATGCGGATGCATCACATGCCAGCGTTAGAGGTTTGTTCGTGTCATAATGAACCAACACACTCTCACTTGACAAGATTGTCTTGCACTTCTGAAACACAGACTCTTGCTTGGTCGTCCACTTCCAAGCCGTGTCTGCTTTAAGCAGATGATACAGTGGGGACAGCAGGGTAGACATATTCCCTAAGAACCGGATGTAGTAGTTGAGCATTCCCAAACATGCTCTTAACTCTGTGATATTCTTTGGACGTGGTGCGTCAGTGATTAGATAGCTTGTATCTTCTCCTTCATTGGGTGAAGGCCGTTTCCATCAATATGGTGTCCAAGATAGTGGACACTGCGAACCTTAAACTTGCACTTGTCCAAGTTTACCTTGATTCCGTAAGTGTTTAGTCGCTTGAGTACTTGATGGAGGATCACGTCATGCTGCTTCTCTGTCAATGTACCTATGAGTATGTCATCGAGTAGACATTCTACATGAGGAATCCCTTGGAGAACTTGGTCCATGACTGACTGAAAAAATGGATGGTGCTGTGGATATACCGAAACATAGCCTCTGGAATTCATACAGTCCCTTGTGAGTGTTGATTACCAGCAGAGGCCGTGACTTCTCTGTTAGTTCCAGTTGGAGACATGCGCTTGACAAATCCAAAATTTGGAGAACAATGTTGCTCCTCCCATCTTTGCAAACAGATCTTCAGCTGTAGGTAATGGGTAAATGTTGTCTTCCAGGACAGGATTAACAGTCACTTTATTGGCCTTGGGTACCACAACAATAGGTGTTGCCCAGTCAGATTTGTCCACCTTCCGTATTATTCCTTCCTTCTCCAATCGATCAAGCTCTTTTTCAACAGCTTCCCTCAATGCATATGGTAAGGACGTGCCCTGCAGAATCTTGGGTTGACATTGGGTTGCACCTTGACATCAGCTTTGAATGTCTTTATGACACCTTTCCATTAAACACTGACGGATATGCTTCCTTCATTTTACCACTAAGTGGCTTCTCTGATATGGCGCGTAATTTACCCCAGTTCATCTGTACTTTTGTAATCCAGTTTCTCCCGAACAATGGCACTCTCCTTCCTTTTGCCACCACTAGAGGAAGTCTGTACTCTCTATCCTCTAATTTGACATTGACAATAACTTCACCCAATAAAGGAATAGCATTGTCTGAATAGTCCAGCAAGGAAACCTTAGTTGGTCCTAGCTTCACTGTGTTTAGATGTTTTCTAAACATTTCCTGTCCTATCACTGAATGACTGGCAGCTGTATCCAAACAGAATTGGAAACTCTTTCCCTCTATCTCTAATGGAACTCTGAACCAATCTTCCTTTCCACCCTGTGTGGAGTAAACAGCAAACAGTCTACCCTTCTCCTCATCTTCTACTTCATCCTCCTCCTCATCTTCTTCAGTTAACAGATGGGCTCTTCCTCTAGTATTACTACTGCCTGCTTTCCTGTAAGTTTGTTTCTTGTTCTGTGTCCGTCTACTCTGTTTGTCTTGACAAACTTTCGCTATGTGACCTAATTTCCCGCACTTGAGGTAAGTTTTCTTCCTGAAGTAGCAGTCGTCAGAGAGATGGTTAGTTTTGGCGCATCTAAAACAAGGTTTATAAATCTGATGTCTGTCCTGTCTTCTAACTTGATTTACTTTACCAGAAAGGTCATTTGAATCTGTCTTGAAAGCTAACATATCTTTCTCTGCCACTTCCATTGCAAGTGCTATCTCACATGCTTTCTGAAATGTTAAGTCTTTCTCTGACAATAACTTCCTTTGCACGGCCACTCCTCTAATACCACCGACTCAGGTGCCCCGTAACCGTTCTTGTAATGTCGTCCCGAACTCACAGTATTTACTAAGACGTTTGAGTTTCACAATGTAATCAAGAACAGACTCTCCAGCATTTTGTTTGCGCTCTGAAAATGCTTGCCGTTCCCAAATCACGTTTCTTACTGGCTTGTAATAGCTAGAAAGTTCCTCTGTCAACCGATCGTATGTCACATCACTAATATCCTCTGGTGCTAGCAACGATAACAACAGTCCAGATGCTGTTGGCCCCACTGTAGCAAGAAAAACAGTAGCCCTGTCCTCTTTCTTTACTTGTTTGCCTTCATCCCAATTTCTAGACATTTCTTATAGCTTCCCCAGTCTTCCTTATCTGATGAATACTCGCTAATCGTTCCGATCATGGGCGCGGCCATCTTTGTTTGGTCACGTGACTCTGATTCACCAATCGGAGTTTCAATGTTCGTTTCGTACAATTTGTTCACTAACAAAATTGACAATTTCCTTCTTCAGGTTTGAAATCACTTTAAAGTTCACTTCCACGTTACTCTTCAACTATACACACGTTTGTAGTGCCTTATTTCCAATAACGTATCACATGGCAATCTATCCTTATAGACGCTGAGCCCCCTTGTGACTGATGTGATAGTTAATATCTCTTATTACGCTGAATGTTCAAAACTACCCCACAACATTCTCACGGTTTTGGATCCCATCCTCGTTGCCAATTTGTCATGTATTTCCGATGTTGGGGGTGGATGGTCCTGGATTCCAACAGACAACAATAAGTCCACCATACGTTTTTAATCCGCCATGATCTCATTACATCATCACACGCCTTGATGACGTCACTTGCCTACGTCATCATTTTTGGGGATGTACTATTTACTTAACAAATATCACAACATCAGCATCAACTTTGGGTTAAAATCTCCAGCCTCGTTCCATGATCAGCTTTGAGTTAGACTCGCTGTTACAAGTTGGTCCAACTGGCATGCCGCACACCTATGGTCGTGGTTTCGAATCCTTGTTTGCCTCCATTGTGCTTCGTGTTTTATCAACATCATATCCATGCTTTTTAATTCCAGCAGAATGGTAAACGTCTAAGACTGGCATCACTCCGGGCTTTCCTCCCACATCAAACAGACACGACGTGGTATAACTGACATAGTCACTCATTAATACTTGCAGATAAAGCCAGTGCCTGGGTTGGTGGGACTGACCTGAGGTCAGAGGGCTTGTGGGTCTGGGACATCGACCAGGGCAGCTTCACAAACACCGACTGGGCCTCAGGGCAACCAGACTCAACGACTTCCGAAAACTGTCTCCTGTTGTTTCAACCAAGTAGCTTCAAATGGCACGACGCTACATGTACTGGCAAATACGACTACATCTGCGAGAGAAGGTGAGTGTGATCTGAAGAAACTATGGTTTAGCTTCATGGCCAACATACTGAAACATGTGGTCAAACATTCGTTACATAAAAGGCCCCAAAACATTTCCACAAATTTAAGAAATCTCCGAGTAGAATCTGTGTTATGGATCACTGTGAAAAGAGAGGATACCAGATGCCAGCAGGTGAGTATGTCCTGCCCCACCGTGGCACTCATCACAAACACATGCATAGCCAAGTCAGTTATTCAACAGGAAAAAAGACCTATCAACGAATTACTAATTAAACTCAGATCTTAGTCCTCGCTACCGCTAAACAGAGATCTGGGGGCATCCAATTACAGGTCACCTCAGTGCGACCTTTCGTGAACTTTGATCGACCAATGAAATGGCTAGCATGGAAGACAATATAACCCAATCGGAAAGTAGCTTCTCGTAATCACTCGTTCAGCCCGGAACTATCGTTCATAATACCCCGAATTAACCTGTTGGATGTTGAAAGTTGATAAAACACAGTCCGACTGTAAGTCACGCTCTGATTGATTAGATGACAGGTCATTCTGACGTGAGCACGTGATTGGATGTCCTGGGGAATTTAGGCGATATGATAACTATGATTTGGTTTTAATGAGAATGAAAGAAATGCACAGGTACATATGATGCAAGTCCAAATGGGGAATTGCAGCAATTTTATCACTGACGCGCCATATTTCCAATCATAGATCTACTGAATACAACCGCAAACCCGTTCTTTTTGTTTGACCATGGTCAGTATGGGGATAAATCAAACAGGTCTTGGAGTCATAGACTAACGCTTAGTCCCTCAATATTATAATTTTGATAGAAACAAATAATTCCCTTTAAATTGAAAAAGGAGTCCGAGTGAGATGGGAGATACAGAACCTGGGGAAATCTAGACTTGCATCATTAAGGGCTTCAGCATTTCAGAAAGGGTTGGGCGGAAGAGAAAATAAAGCTGTTCAGGGACTGTAAAATATACTAGTTGGCCTTGTATCATGTGGGGCTCCAACAAGTGTGTAACCTACGGGGTTTCCGGGTTAGAACTGGTCTGCCTCAACCCTTGCTGGTCATAAAAGGCGACTTCATGGATCGGGAGGTCTGGCTCGGTGAATTGGTTGATAGCGAGACATCCTACCTCGACGACTTCATGGATCGGGAGGTCAGGCTCGGTGAATTGGTTGATAGCGAGACATCCTACCTCGACGACTTCATGGATCGGGAGGTCAGGCTCGGTGAATTGGTTGATAGCGAGACATCCTACCTCGACGACTTCATGGATCGGGAGGTCAGGCTCGGTGAATTGGTTGATAGCGAGACCTTCCTCGACGACCTCATGGATCGGGAGGTCTGGCTCGGTGAATTGGTTGATAGCGAGACCTTCCTCGACGACTTCATGGATCGGGAGGTCTGGCTCGGTGAATTGGTTGATAGCGAGACCTTCCTCGACGACTTCATGGATCGGGAGGTCTGGCTCGGTGAATTGGTTGATAGCGAGACATCCTACCTCGACGACTTCATGGATCGGGAGGTCAGGCTCGGTGAATTGGTTGATAGCGAGACCTTCCTCGACGACCTCATGGATCGGGAGGTCTGGCTCGGTGAATTGGTTGATAGCGAGACATCCTACCTCGACGACTTCATGGATCGGGAGGTCAGGCTCGGTGAATTGGTTGATAGCGAGACATCCTACCTCGACGGCCTCATGGATCGGGAGGTCAGGCTCGGTGAATCGGTTGATAGCGAGACATCCTTCCTCGACGGCGTTGTTGTTATTATCAGTCACTCTATTGTTTGTTCCATCTGAAGACTCGATTATTTACAGGTAGTCGCTACATAGCTGGCATAGTGCCAACAACAACCACACACACACACACACACACACACACACACACACACACACACACACACACACACACACACACACACACACACACACAGAGAGAGAGAGAGAGACACACACACGAACACAAGCACACACAGTCTCTCTTGGAAGACTTGTTCTCCGACATACAACATTTACAAGATATTCCTGTTTCTAAGGACGATGAAAACATAATGAGAGAAGAATGAGGTTTAGAAAGAATTACGGCTCCTAACAAATCTAATTCTAGTGGCGTAGTTATTCTGTTTAATGATAATGTATAACATAGAATACATAGAGCCCACAAAGGGTAAGATGGACATTTTATCAGTTGAGAGGATACGACTGACAGTCATTAATACTTCTGGTAGATGAGATGACGATGATGAGATGAACCTAATTTGGAGAGGCGTCCATTGACTATATCCGTGATATTGGTAATGAATCGCAGGAAATATGTGGCGACTGCCATTTTATACTAAATCCTGATGTGCACATAGAAACCTTCAGACATAGAAATGACATTTGAGCTTGTAAGGCAGAATTAAATAATTTAGAAACCTTTTTTATCTTGATGATATTTGGCGAGAAGTTTTAAGAACCCCACACAATATTACATTGTTTCCAAGTTTCAAAAGACATCTCGTAACAATACAAATCAGATCGTTCGGCCATAACGTAATCATTTTGGAATGCTCTCAACAAGGAGCAAGTGAGTGGATATTGGAAATGTAAGACATCGTTATTACACAACCATGCGTAATAAGTTAACAACAGACGCATCAGACGAAACCATAGAATATCGGGATCCGAAATGTGTCGTCGAATACAGTAACACAATAGATGATCAAAACATAGCGATACTCGTATCTATACATCGTCTCCGACGTCTCGGCATGGAACGAATAAGTCTCTGGATCTGATGTTGTTGCATCGTAGCCCACTCTGCCTGTAGTGCATGTGCGAGTTGCTGAAGTGTCTGGGGATGTGGGTTACGCTGTTGCACCCGCCTGTCCAGGGCATCCCAAAGAAGTTCGATAGGGTTTAAGTCTGGTGATCTGGAAGGCCAAGACAGTAGGCCTACATTGATGTTCTGATTCTGGAGGAACTCTCTCGTGACACGTACTGTACGTGGTCTGGCGTTTACCTGCTGGTACAGCTCCCTCTGACGGTTTAGAATAGGAAGTAGGTGTGGACGAAGGTTTTGATCACAGAAGCGCTGTGCTGTCAGGTTGCCTTGGATCAACACCAACTCACTTCTTTTAGTGTAGGTTATGGTTCCCCACATCATCACTCCACCCCCATCCCCCGACGAATCTGTCCACCTGGGGGATGCAGGCGTCGCCAAAACGTTAACACAATTTTTGCGAAATGTGTGGCTTGAAACTTAATATCGATAAAGGTAGGGCAGTATGGAAGGATCAAGAAAGTCAAAGAAATCTCAAATAAGACTTAAATTTGACAGGCATAGTAAAGTGAAAGTATTCATCATTAAACTTAATCTCCTAATTTAATAGATCTTTCAAACAGATTGATTCTAAATATATTTATATCATGTAAAATATACTGGACAAAAATAGTTAGGGATATATGTAAATTTTGAAATTATGAATAATGATCTGTTTAATCATTGACACTCTGATAAAATATCAATCATAAAAATACCAATATCCCTAACTTAATTTGTCCAGTACATATATTGAAATATGTGTGCTAATATTTTATCACAAATATAAGCAAACCAAACTGTGACTTCGCATATCGGGTAATGGTTCTAAATTGTTGTATGATAATTATTTCACTTCAGTCAGCAGTGTGTGCAAAACCGAAAACTGAGCTAGACCATAGACTGGAGGCAGTAGTTTCTCGGAATACATACGTAGGACACAATATTGTTAAATTTCTTTTTAGATTTTTACATAGAACCACTCATACAACATTAAAGTATAAAGGATCAAAGACATGCTTGTCCATGTTTATATCTCGAATCCATTATTATTAATAAACATTTGGAACACGTATCAAACGATACATTGACATATATTTCAAATTACAAAAATTCTTGGGAGGACTAAATGACAACTTTCTGAATCGCATTATAATAACAGATGACAGCTATATGTTTAGTATATAAAGATCAAAGACATCCTTCTAAATGTTTATGTCTCTAATGCATAATTGTTAACACCTTGAAAGCATTTATTGTGAAACACGTATCAAACGATGCATTGACATATAGCTCAAATTACTAACAAAGAAATTCCCTGGAGGACTAAATGACAACTTCCTCAATCGCATGTTAATAACAGGCAAAATCCCCAGATATATTGTTAGTATATAAGGATCAAAGACATGCTTCTCCAATTTAGTAGGGTATAAAGGATATTAATCATACAAGAAAATGTATTACCAGAAGCAGCAATACAATTCATCGCTTCAAAGTGAAATGGGAAAATTTAACTGATATGCTGAGTCCCATTATGTAATCCCATGTGCCTGATATCTTCGGAAAAACCCCACGTCTTTCATGTTTTTGTCACCGCTGTCATATTCGACACTGTGTTTATACCTCATTAAGATGACATGCCGTGATATAAATGAAATACTGCCCCGACTAGCTTTGATACCACTCATTCAGAACATTTCAATATAAAGAAAATGTTCAACGTCGTACTTAGCAGGTTTATGTAGTGAATATATATATATATATGTAAACGCATTAATATAAGTGCACAAACTGAAATACATAATACACGTGGAGAAAGAGAGTATTAACTGCACCAGTTTTCGAGAAGTGAAAATTGGTGACAGAAACTGCACAATTTAAAAAAAATACGTGGTGAGCAGTGGTTAAGTACCTGCAAAAAGCATAAAGGGAATGGCAGAAGTCGAACATCGAAACGGATCCTAGGTGTTGTCAGATTTGTTTGTTTATTTGCTGTTGAACGCCGCAATCGAGCAGATATATGACGGCGGTCTTTAAATAATCGAGTCTGGACCGGAGAGGTCGGTGATTGACATCATGAACATCGATCTACCTAATTTAGATGCGATTATATACATTGAGCGAGTCACCGATACTGTGTCTGGCCGACGTACGTATTGGAGACAGTTTTGGCTCAGTATATACAGTATGTTAGCTGACATGATACAGCTCTCTCCAAGATGGGTTTCCCGAACATTGACTGCAGATCAGCCCCTGTAAGGAACCTGAATCCTGATAATTCAGGCCTCACTTCTATCAAGTCAAAACATAATTACAATCAGTTGAAACATTTAATCTCATTCCATCAAAGAAGTACAAGCCGTTGGGATCAATTGGCAAATCACTGCTTCGGCTTTCGAGGACAGAAAAGGGATAATCTTGACGAATCAGGATCTCGATCCATAATCCATAGAGGGCGATGGGGTAGCCTAGTGGTTAAAGCGTTCGCTCGTCACGCCGAAGACCCGGGTTCGAATCCCCACATGGGTACATTTGGTGAAGCTCATTTCTGGTGTCCCCCGCCGTGATATTGCTGGAATATTGCTAAAAGCGGCGTAAAACCAAACTCACTCACTCATAATCCATAGAAGCGTTGCTACCCATTGTAATTTTATACTTCATAAGATTATGAAGAGCGCTTTGTCAGCTGTATGAACTGCCATAGAAGGCACGTGTGCTCCTGGCTCTGCTGCAACTGCAGAACGAAGCTTTCAATTACTTCCCCGTATTCCATACGTTTGTCCCATCTTGCCTCAAATAACACCTGTGTCGAGGTTTCTCCAGTAAAGACGAGGTGATAACCGCCACTTCGTCCCTTTAGGGGACCAAGATGAAGACGTCTATATGGCAAGGGGTAACTCAACTGGAGCATCACGAGGCAAGTGTATAGGATACAAGGGAGATCTTATTACAAACTAACGTGTGAACAGTTAGGATCTAACGGTTTTTCTAAGTGAGGACACAACCTTTTGATACGGGTTTGCAGATATTCCTCCTTCACCAGGGAACACGCTCGTACTTACAAGTGCGCTTAAACCACCGAAGGGAGCCATGATGGGTTGCAGAGAGAGACTGAGCGCTCAGTACTTTGGCAATGTTCCTTGTACCCCAAAGCCTTACAGACTCAAATCTCAGTACGGCTTCAGCATTAAGCAACGATAGGGTTCTAAAAACATTCATTAGCAGATGAGAACTCATTTAATATCATCGAAAACTTCAACGAAATTACCTGACTAAACACAGGCATGCGTCACTAGTACCCCCACAGAATCAGTTGGTATGCACAGTTATGGAATATTGTTTTGTTTGTTTGTTTATTGTTTAACGCAACAATATTCCAGCTATATGGCGACAGTCTGTACATAATCGAGTCTGGACCAGACAATCCAGTGATCAACATCATGAACATCGACCTACGCTACTTGGATACCATGACATGTGTCAACCAAGTCAGCAAGCCCGACCACCCGATCCCGTTAGTCGCCTCTTACGACAAGCATGGATTGCTGAAGACCAGTTCTAACGCAGATCTTCACGGGTTTGTGGAGTACAGTAGTGTATGCAAATCTATGAGTGTCTGACAATGCGGCATGACGATTCCACTGTGTTGCATTACTGATGTGACAAGTATATCACCACGTATTTGTTCAGACATATATAAAAGACTGTACCCCAGAATACGTTAAGTACTGCTATTACGAACATTTCTTTCCAATTAATAATCGTTCGGTTAAGTGACGTTCATAAGTGATTTGAACTTTGTTTATACATAATTCATTCGTTTAATCTGAATTTCACAATGAGATTGTTTTTTGTTATCTTTTGCAGGTCGACCAGTTCCGTTTAAAAACCACTTCCAAGAAACAGAATAAATTGGGTGCACATTGACTTGGTGATTCTGTGTCGTTGAAGGCGAGAACGAGTTCACTGCCAGTTTATTACGATGTATTTAACCCGAAAAGATCCGGTTTTCATCAGCCCGTGTTTGTCATATAAAGAGGCCACTTTAAGGGGATCGGGTGGCCAGGCTTGTTGACTTTATCATGCCAATCGCTAGATTGTCTAGTCCAGATCTAATCATTTACAAAGTTGACATACATAAATCTTACTTTTCTTATGCATTACACTTCTAAATGCCCTTCACAGATTCGCCGTCATATAGCTTGAAACTTGCTGAGTTCAACGTTCATTACCGGTGTCCCCTGACGTCATCTTGCTGGAATATTGCTGAACTCACTCACTCACTCACACACTGAGTACGACGTTAAACATTTATATTAAAATGTTCTGTGGTATTAAAGCTAGTGAAAGTGGAATAAAAGCCTTCACGCTCTGGGCTTCTGGGATCCCACAATATATACCTCTATTATATCCATTAATAATAGGATATTCTTTGAGGCTGCTTTCAACGGTATATCAGTTATATGTCCACCAGTAAGGATGATATGGAAGGCGGGAAGTGATGCGGCTCTTAGTCGTTTTCATCATCATTTTGTCCTCTTATTGATATACCATATCTGTGAGAGGGTGAGATACCATGCCGCAGTGAAGCATGAATATCCCACTCAGACACATTATACTGACTCCGGAGCCGACCAGTCCTTGTTGTACCCATTAATGCCGAGCGCCAGACAGGGACCAACGAGTACCATATTTTAACGTCTTTTGGTATGACGCGGTCGGGGATCGAACCCGCGACCTTCCGCTCTCCGGGCGGACGTTCTAACCACTACACCACGGAGGCGGTCCTCCACGTTATGAAGCCACCGTCAGTCCTGAACTACGTGGCATGACCTGTAATTGAAATCTGCAGACCGTTTTACATATGACAGTGAGTTTGTAAGGTTTTACGCAGCTTTTAGCAATATTCCAGCAATGTCATGGCGGGTGACACTAGAAATGGGCTTCACAAACAGTACCCAAGTGAGGAATCGAACCCGGGCATACGGCATGATGAACGTGGTTACCCCACTGCTCCTATGACAACATACGTATTTTCATTGGCTGTTTACAAATGTTGTTTGAGCAGTTGTTGATACTGTTCAGAAAAAATGGCATGTCTAGGCATCGTGTGTTGCCTATTGTGCCATATTATTTGATAATATATAGGAGAGTGAATTAGTCTTAAGCCGCAGTGAACGGAATTCAGTCAGATCACGGCGTGCTACCTCGGTGTGGGAGAAAAGCCGGAAGTGATGTCACAATTTTGGGGCAACCCACGAGCATGGTGCTCACAGACACAGACCTGACCTCATAATCGGGGCGAACTGGGATTCGAACCCATAAACCCGTGGTCGTAGTTTTGTCCCGTCAAAGGTACCAACGGGACACAACTCTGCATATCGACTTGCTGAGCTTCAGGTTTCTGAAACAAACAAAATAAATGGGATTGTGGGGGCGGTTGTGGTGTTTTTTGCGTTAAGACAGACTAAATTTTCTTCAGGCAGACAGCGTTTCAATTATTTGCTCATAAAGAAGAAGCCAAACTCGTATTTGTAAAACCCAAGGACATATTTTTTCAGCATTTTCTGGATCAGATTAAATTATCGAAATGACTGCTGTCCCCTTTGGCGCCCGATGAAACATAGTTTCCCTGACTAAGCCAAAACCATACTACCTTTGTTTCGCTAAAGTCGATCTACTATTAAATTGACAAAAAAAAAACAGGCTCGATATAGAACGTTGACAATATCTTCTTTCGTGTTGAAACACCTTCTCACTTGCACGATCTTGTCAAAGGTCCAAATTGGATGTCCACGGACTGCACGTGACACTTGACAGTCATGCACTCCGCGTGATTCACGAGCTGTCAATCAAGCAGTCATGACTGCAATCAGCAACTGTAAGTTTTCGTGAGCCGAACGAGTTTGGTTTCTGGGTTTTTCAATGCGGGCGAACACCTGTTGAATTTCTGCTGTCATGTGACGTCACTAGCTATCCGAAGCGACGCTGACATGATTGGCTATATGATATCACGTGACTAGACACTGACATGACGTGGTTTGGGAGGTTTCATTCCGGTAGCCTACCCTGGGTCATTAGTTTGGGACGGGGATGTAGGATATTGTCAGCATCATATCATAAACATATTCAGAGGGATATATATGTAATGTGAAAGGGTGTTATCTTTGATTTTATACCTCAAAATTATATAACACATGTTATACTTGGGATTAAACTTTCTCGTTAAAGTACAGTACTTTTGAAGCAGGGTGGTGGGGTAACCTAGTGGTTAAAGCGTTCGCCGAAAACGCGGGTTCGATTCCCCACATGGGTACAATGTGTGAAGCCCCTTTCTGGTGTCCCCCGCCGTGATAATGCTGGAATATTGCTAAAAGCGACGTAAAACAAAACTCATTCATGTCTTTCAGTGGCATTTAGAAGTTGTACATTGATGTCCAAGATATTTTTATGGATTAAACTTCCTTTTTAATTTCTCTCACAACGTTTCGAGACCATTCCAGGTCCCTTCATCAGGTGAACTTCATCAGGTGAAACGTTGTGAGAGAAAAAAAAATCCTGAAAATTCATTCACTTTTGAGGTTGAGTCCTACCCGGGATTTGAACCAACACTCAGCTATCTAACCCACTCAGCCAGCGGTCTGGAATCTACATAACTGAGAAAGTGTAATACCAAATATAACATCGGTTATATTTAACCACTTCCTAAATGGCATCGTGTACTCGGAATTATACATTTGTTTTGGTTGAATGTTATACAAAACTAATACCACAGACGATGACACATAATGTCGGTGACATATTGACCTGTCCACACATTAATTACTTTGATGAGAAAACATTAACACCTGTGTGTCATACATTTAGCACACCTTGATGAGAAACACAGATATGTCTGACACCTGTAGATATTTGACACCTTGCCGTGACGACACAAATCTCTACTCGCTTTTAGCAATATTCCAGCAATATCACGGCGGGGACACCAGATATGGGTTTCATACATTTTACCCATGTTGGGAATCGAACCCGGGTCTTCGGCATGACGAACGAACGTTTTAACCCCTAGGCTACCCCACCGTCCCGCAAAGATTCTGAAAATATATAAGTTTGATAGAAACAAACTCCATTTAAATTGAAAAGGAACCCCAATGAGATTCATAACATCTGGAAAACCCATACGTGCTTCTTTTGGACCATAGGCCCTATGGGCTGTGGGGTAGCCTAGTGGTTAAAGCGTTGGCTCGTCACGCCGAAAACCGCGCAGACAATTCAAACCTCCGTTATCTGTTTGTCTGTGAATGAACAAATTGAATATAGCCACACCTGTGTCCAGACACCAAGACAGGTCAACAGGTCACAGGTCAGTAGTTCAACCTGTGGGATAAGCCAGATGTAAAAACGTTGACTCGCACCGCTGAATACCCTGGTTCAATTCCCCGGGTGGATGTACTGACAGTATTGCCCGTGCGTCACGCCCTCTGTTATCATATGGCCGGACCCTTGGTAAAGCATCGTTAAACCATATTCGCTCATTCACAGGGTATTTCGTGGAAATAACACAACCACAGAGTGGGTGAGTGAGTTTAGTTTTACGCCGCACTCAGCAATATTCCAGCTGTATGGCGGCGGTCTGTAAATAATCGAGTCTGGACCAAAAAATCCAGTGATCAACAACATGAACATCGATCTACGCAATCAGGATACGATGAGATGTGTCAACCAAGTCAGCGAGCCTGACCACCCGATCCCGTTAGTCGCGTATTACGACAAGCATGGAATACTGAAGATCAAGTCTAACCCGGATACAACCACAGAGAATGACTGGGGATTATATTATGTGATCTCCATCGATAAGATCGATATGCTTCTTGCGATGGTAAAACTTTAAAAATTACCACTACTACTAATGATAATAATAATAATTGATTTCTTAAGCGCCTAGCATCCATCGACAGGTGCTCACTGACCACATGACCAAGTTAAAACCAAATCAAATCTATGCACATATATACAGACAATCCTGAAAACGTACGCGTTTTACTTTATTGTAAAACAAGCTGGATAAAGCATCGGAGATGTGAACTCTGTTGTTCGTCAGTATTCTTGTGGCCTTCGTTTGAATGAGTGAGTGAGTGAGGGGATGATTGAGATTTTACGACGCCGAATTTAGACATAGTCCAGCAATATCACGGCGGGGGACACCAGAAATGGGCTTCACATATTGTACTCATGTGGGGAATCGAACCTGGGTCTTCGGCATGATGGGTGAACGCTTTAACCACTAGGCTATCCCACCACCACACTCAGTACTGCCGCTATGTTTACACTGGAAACATCCTATTGTAAAGAGTCAGGATGTTGTAAGTCATCTTCAAAGTACCTGCTGAGTCCTCTGCAAGCCTAAGCACGGATAATTGATGTCCTTGAATCCCGTACACATCGCCACGCGGTGAACAATTCTGTTTGAGACCCCCTACCTCTCATTTCTCCTCTAAATTCTCCCCTAACACCCACACACACCGCTACTTATTATTCTGCTGTCGTCTGCATCTTTGCAAAAGCACGGAGCGCACTAATTGAGATAGCTGTCGTCTGCTTGCTACTTAGTGTCGTCTGCAAGAATGTTTATAAAGCTAATGCTACCTTGCCGATAAACGTTTTGATTTCCTAATGAATAAAAACTCCAAGTGAACTCACCAGACCTCAGGTTCGTCCAGTCAGCTGAGGTAGAATCGTCGCCCAATTAAGATTCGTTAGCCGTCATTTCCGTACTCATTGTGTACTCTGTTTGATTTGAAACTGGCAGTTTCCGTATGCGATCAACGGATTTGAATCCAATGTCATTAAGTTCGGTTAAAACATGTATGCACTTGGAATAGGTTAGCACTGCTCAATTTCTTTTTCCATTTGAAATAGACATTTTA